TGTTTATTAAGAAAATATCCTCCTTAAAATTATTAATTTTTTTCATTTACCCCCTTTAATTTCCTTCCACTAATGACGCCAGTCGTTACCGCCTCATCAGCATCTTTAATTATAGCTCAGCATCGCTCTGGCCAGGCAGACAAAGACTCCAAGGGAGACTTTTCAGAGATTATGAGGAGTTTTGTGTCATCCGGAGCCTCCAGGGAAAACTTTCCAAACCTTTTTCCTCCTGGGAGCAAAGCTCCGGCATCTCAACGACCCCTTCGCCCCAGCACAGAKAATCCCAATTAAACACTTTCTAATTGACTGCAAACTCACCCATTTCTCCCTTTTTTTTCCCTTGGGATTGGGCTTCCACCGTGCAGGTGGAACAAAACCGTGCGTGACACAGCTCAGCTCCACCGGACACGACAGAAAACACACCARAAGGGTTAGAACTAAAAATTTCTTAAATTCTCCTCCTTCAATCTTTTTGTCCCAGACTGCTTCCCAGCCCAAATTTTAAAGGCTGCTTCTCTTACAGAAATCCTTCCCATCCTCCCGTTCTCCCCCTCCCAGATTCACCGGGGACTGGGCTGAGCTGCCAGGAGATGCCCCAAAAACTCTCCAGATTGCCCCAAAAACGCTTCAGGCTGCCCAAAAAATGCTTCAGGCTGCCCCAAAAACACCCCAGGCTGCCCCAAAACTCTCCAGACTGCCCCAAAAATGCTCCAGGCTGCCCCAAAAACTCTCCAGGCTGCCCCAAAAGCGCTTCAGGTTGCCCCAAAAACTCCTCAGACTGCTTCAGAAACACCCCAGGCTCCCCCAAAAACACCCCAGGCTGCCCCAAAAATGCTCCAGGGTGCCCCGAAAACTCTCCAGGCTGCCCCAAAAACTCYYCAGGCTGCCCCAAAAAYRCTCCAGGCTGCACCCAAAGYGTGCCCCAGTTTGCTGCTCCTGTCCCTCCACCTTTTCCCTGAGAAATTTTGGCTGAGCTCCCTCATTTTGAAAGTCTTCTCACAAATATCACATCTTTGAATATTCCCCGTTTGCGCCTCAGCAGGAGACACCCACTGCAGGTGAAGGGCAGCTCTGTCCACCTTTGGTGAGGGGATTCAGGGTTGATTTTAAACATTTCCCACCCCTGGGATCTGATTCATTCCCCACTGGCAATCAGAATGAATCGTTTGCATTGTGATTTCTGGAAGTGGGGACCTCGAAAGGGGCTGGGGGAGTAAAGAAGGCCAGGCAGACTCGAGGGGTGATGCAGAACAAATTTAATGAGGCTGAGGAAGGGAAGGGAGCAGCACAAAAGTCAGGAATACATTCCCATGGTCCRGCAAGGACAGAACCCGCTCATCCCTCTCACAGCGACGCATTCAGCAAGAGGAAAAATTCCTTCTTCATCGAGGAGTGACCTGTGCCAATCCAGCCATGCAGAACAATCTCTAATTTTATATTTCGGCTATTCTCACACACACACACACACACACAAAAAAAACCCCAAAAAAAGCAGGACAAGACATTTGATCAGGAACACAAAGTAAAGCACAACGAAAGACAAGCGAAGGCCTGGTTTGGGGAGATGCCAAACTCTCACAGCTCCACAGAACCCCGGGGGTGCCTCACGCGGCATCCAAAAACCGCGGCCGCCACCAGCTCAGTCCTGCTCCGGGCACTGGGTCGGGATTTCAGCATTCCTGGTCTTCTCCTCTGGCTTTTCCCTCCCGCCTTAGCAGGGCCCGTAGAAGCTGCTGCGGGAGGGGTTATAGCGCCGGTAGGACCGGCTGGAGCCGCTGCCCAACCCGGGGTAACCAAAACCCCCCAAACCCAAAGAGCTCCCGGAATTGATGGGGACRCCCCCGGCGCTCAGAACGCTCCCGACGGCCGCCGACGCCGAGGAACCCACGGTGGTGTTTTGGGGGAAGGAGCTGAGGATGGGCCCGGGCAGAGTGACCACCACGGGGGACGGTTGGATGACCACGGTGGAGTCCTGGCACTGCCGGACGCACGGCTCGTTGCAGGAGTTGGCCARCGGYGTRGGGTTGCACGTGGTGGGAGGACATCGCTCGTAGCAGGACATGGCTCRGGATGGAGTCTGGAACACAGGATACACCTGGGAGTAAAGTAGGAGTTGTGTTGCTCCCGCTTTTACTCCATTCAGTTATCAAGACAACTTTCCATAGAGAATTCTGAAAACCGACCCAGCAGCTGAGAAGGAAGAAACCAAACCCTCAAACACAAGAGGACAGAAATACAAAAAAAAATACAAAATTAAATTAAAAACACAAAACAGAAACTCCTAAATACAAAACAAGAAGGCAGAGGTTGAAACATCCCCTGGGCTGTCGGTGATCCAGGGAAGAACTGGCAGCAGAACAAAAGAAACAAGCGCATATCATTAATTTAATTTCAGGGTTTTGATTGTGTGTCTGGAGCAGCAATTAGGGGTAGAGCCCGACCACAAATGTGCCTGTGGAGAGAGTTCTGCGGGCTGGGAAATGAAAGGGAAAATTCATTTCAAGGCTCCGTCGCCTACAAAGGGGCTCAAATTTCAACGTCGTTAAACGCCCTTGAAGAGGAGGACTCTGAAATCTTTCCGAGATGATTCGTCCATGGAGGTGAGACAAAAAGGCAGGAACTCCCTGAGTTCTCCCCATGTCATTCTGTCAGGGMAATAAAAACAAAATTCTGATTCCTACACCCGTCACGGTCCAGGAGATGCTCAGCTCTCCTCTGCTTTTTGCTTTTCTTTCCCTTCATCCCCAGAATCCCGATCCCAGTTCCCAATATTCCAGGAGATGTCATTGCACTCTGGGACTAAATTTCAACACTTGGAGACCCCGTTGACATTGGAGGAAGGGAAAGACCATCCAAAATATGAAATTTTGCTGAAATAGAACTGAAATCCTGGATTTTCTCAATTTTCTCCAGCTGTTAATAAATAGTTGGAGTTTAAAAGGGCCTTTAAAGAGTTCCAACCCCTGGCGCAGTTATTCCACCCATTCAAGTTACTAATCTTTATTATTTCTAACATTTTCCATGCCATTTAACATGTTTGAAACCCCACGTTTAAATAAATTTCTATCACCAATACAAGGATCTTTATAAACCAAGTCAAGACTTCAAAAATTTCACAATTCCAGCAGCAAACCCCAAATTTCTAAAGASAAAAAATCCCCACCCGGCAAATCCAGCAACCAGCAGAACACTGTGGAGGAAAAAACAAATTATTAAAAAGCAAAAATTCAGCAAAAAAAGAAAGAGAAGTGGATTTGAACCAACCTTGCTCAGAAGAGAGGGAAGAGGGAAGAGAAGTGGCAGGAAGGAGTTGGGTTGAGTTGGTTTTTATACCTCAGCCCCGATGGCCTGGGGACCACAGACAGCCTTTGTACCTGGAATTAATTCCCAACGAGTACATCCTGAATGCCGAATGTTCCTCCTGATTAAATGTCTTTTCCTCACTGCTTATTTACTTTGTTTTTATTTCCTTATCTCCTGGCAGACGGATTCCGTCCTGCAGGCTCCTCTCATCTCTGGAATTAGGGACCAAATTTATTCCGGGGCCACCTTTCAGTCACAACAAAACGCAGACTCCGGCGTATGTTTGAGTTTAGTCATAAAGAAAAATACTGAGAATGTCTCAAATACATAATTCATCATTCCAGGGTGTTCTTTTATTAAGGGAGTGAGTGTAAATCCTTAATAAATTCCTGTCTCCACCGAGGCTCTGCCTCCAGCTGAGCTTTGGAACAATCTCAATTCTGGGTTTGGGGAAGGCCCTGCCATGAAAAAAAATTTGATCCTGAAATCCCAAAAAATCCAGTGGAATTCAGAGAAAAAATACACCCTTATCACATCAAATTCTGATGGTTTCTTCATATTAAATTTGCGTAACACAGCTGGAGGCACAGCTAGAAGAACCTGGRGATGTTTAATCCTGATTTATCAGTTCTTTTCTGAAGGGATCCTCCAAACCCATTCTACATCAGCTCAACTCACAAATACGGATCAGAATCTTGGAATCTGTTGGGTGGGAAGGGACCTTAAAGCTCATTTTGTTCCAATCCATGGCCAGGGACACCTTCCCCTACCTCAGGGTGCTCCTGGACATTTCCAGGGATGGGGAATGCATGGAGATTTTTTCTTTTAGAGATGTGAACAGTTTAATTGTTTTTAAGTGGGTCAGACTGGGAATGGCACACAAAGAATTCCAGCACAGCTTGGATTTGATCTCGGATCCCGAGGCAGCCACAGGTGAMCAAATTGCTGAGGAGCTGGAAAAAAAATGTATTTATTCGACTGTGCTCGGAGTAATTTCACGTTAACTTGACTGGAGTCAGTCTGAAAGAAGCAGAAATTAAAAAGCAGCCATAAATTGGGAAGATGAAAGAATTTTTAATTGGCGGAAGGCGCTTCTCGTGAAATGCCAGCCCAAACCTAGACTGGAAAAAAAAAAGCAGGACAGTTCCTTTATCAAGAAAATATTCCACCTGCCAAAAAGGTGTGGGAAATAATTAATGTCAAAAAAAAAAA